AAAAAAAAGATACATAACATGTAGCCAAGTTCAAATACTTTGGGGGACCCCCCCAAAAGAAATAACCAAAATAACCAAAAAAGTGGAGAAAGTGCCTAAAACATGATACAGCATTTTAGAGCCCTTTCAGATACAAGGCAGAGAAAGGTGTAAAGTAGAAAATATCCGGATCTTCGGTAATTTCCAGAAAGGTCCAATTCCTTGGGTGGCTCAGGGCAGCGCAGCCCCTCGCAGCCCCTGGCACAGAGCACTAAGTCTGCTCCTGGGGACACAAGCCCAAGGGCCCTGAGCTGCGTGCACCTCCTCCAGCCCCTTCTCTCTTCCTCCGCTCCATCTCCCACTCCACAAAGGTATCGAAGAGGCTCGGCCAGGCCTCATCTTCGCTGTAGTTGCTGAGGTCGGGGCCAATCACCTGAGTGAAGTTAAGGAACATGTTCCAAGTGTCCCGGGAGATGCCTTTGATCCCCGAGGGGTTCTCTGTTAGGAAGTGTAGCCACTGGTCCAACACTGGTGGATTGTTCTGGGTAAAGACTAGCCTCCACAGGGCAATGGCTATTTCCCGATGCAGTGACCGCTGCCCTTCTTCAGAGTCCAGGCCAAACTGAAATGTAAACCGGTACAGATCCTTGAACTTATCCTCTTGCCTGGCTTCTGTTAAGAGGCTAGGGAACCGTGCACAGATCCCATCAATGCTGTCTGCACTTATTGCTTTGCAGCCATCAAAAAACTCCTTCCTGCAACAGGAAGTAAGGGCACAATTAATCCCTGTAAACAAGAATCATTTCCTGTGAGGCAACACAGTGTAGTGACTGGCACCATGGCTCTGAAGCTGGGAGGCCTGGGTGTGAATTCTGACTCCTCCACTAGGGAGTTCTTTTCCCCACCTGTGAAATGCTGAGAGCCATATTACTTCACAAGGTTTGGGTGAGGACAAGTTAATATATGCCAACTGCTTCTAACAGAGCCTGGCACATGGCAGGCAGCTGATAATGGCCTATTCATTTATTCATCTTCCCAAAGTTGAATGCCAGCTCCATGCCCTGTTTCCCATTCTGCAATAGTGACCAAGTTTCAGACTCTCCTCCCAGAGAGGGCCCTTCCTGCTCTGATTCTCCACAGCTTGTGTTTGGAATATTCTTGGTGACTGTCAAGGGACATTTCTAGAGCTAAAGATTCTGGATGAACCTGTGTAACTCCCATCAGTGATCAAAGTTCTATTATTAAAAAACGAAAATTGTGTATGTATTCTGAACATCTGTATAACGCTTTCAGCTCAGTGGGCTCTCACACTGATCATCTTCTCAGAGACTGCTGTATCCACTAAAGATAGAAGGCCTCTGAGGTCTGCTAGGTACCCTACCCAGGGGCTGGAAATTATAGGAGGGGTTCTCAAAGTAAATTCTTATCACCCAGCATTCTGCAAACCGCACCTTGGGGTAATCCTGCTATGCCCTCACCCACAAACCACCCCTATAGGGATGTGACCGTGACAATGTGTCCACCTACTACTTGATAACGGGGCCAGCTGGGGCACTGTGTGGAGAGCTAGAAGGGGCAACTTACCTCATGCAGTGACAGGCATATCCCAGAGGCAATCACTCTGCAGGCACTCCCAGTGCCTGGCACATGCAGGTGCACAGCAAGTATTGAGGAAGTGAGTGACTGACAAGTAGGGAGTGAAGGGTCTGAAGCAGCAGTGAGGCTGGGCAGCAATGTGGCAACAAGGCTCAGCACAAATTATGCCTCGTTTAACTTCAGGCAGGGAGGGTAGGTGCTCAGTTATTCAGAGGCTGAATAGCTTTAGAGAAATTTGACAGAAAAAGAAAACAAGACTTACCCAAACCCTATGAAGCCAACCCAGTTCTATCCTAGCTGGGCACCACTGCCCAATGGTGCTCTTTCCACTTCTACTCACCTGGAAAGTATTTATAACTAACCTGGTGAACTTGCACATGGTAGCAGCCTGGAACTTCCAAGCCAAGAGCAGCACTCGAAATTCCGTGGGGTCAACACATAGGTCATTGCAAAAGCGCTCCATGCCTTCCTCCAAAATGGCATCCTCCCGCTCGTCCTTGTAGCGCCTGAACAGTTCTTCCAACCTCTGCAAGGAAGACTCCTCGGCATTGGACTTGGGCTCCCTCCCAGCATCTCCCGAGGACGTCGGCAGCTGGCAGGCCTCAGTGGCAGCCTCTGCCTTCTTGGTCCCATTGACGAGGATGTCCCCGCCCGGCTTGCCACAGGCTGGCGGCTGCTCCTCGCGATGGCCTGCACCTCGCCTGTTGTGAGACTTGCTGTTGGGGTCACGGTCTCCATTCTTGCTGCCCAGGGTTGATGAGGGATTCTTGCACTTGGTGACACACTGGCCCATGGTACTGGTGGCCTGGCCTCTAGAGTGCTCCCCTCTGGATCAGATGCCCTCGCTGCCACTGGCCCTTGAATCTCAACATGCCATCAGCCAGAGGAGCCAGCCAACCTGGAAGGAAATTAGAGAGCAGTCACCGCTGGAAAGAGAGACAGGATATGCAAGCTCCCCTCCAGGGACTGGACTGCATACTGAGCCAACCATGAACCAGGAGAGATACTCCAAGTTCATCACCACCTCTCTTGTAAGCCAGCTCTATACTTACCTTCACCTTGGAAATGCAGTGGCTAGAGCACATATGGAGAACCAATAAAGAAAATTCCTAAAATTCTTACTGCAACCTGGTTTACAAAGAGGTGATTCATGTGCAGAATGCATCAAGGAAAACTACAGTTTTGGCAGAAATATTCAACAGGAACTGTGTCTTGCCAACTGGCCATCACTTAAGAAAATTAGTTGAATTTGAGTTAAGTCAGAAGGTACACATAAAAGGTTCATCTTCTGTTCTCTACTATCAAAATTCTCCAATTTCCTTTTCAAGTAGGGAGAAGGGGTGGCCACACCCAAAATAACTATCAGTTTCATAGTGGACCAAAGACGAGGTAAAGGACTTTCACAGTTAAGACTACAAGCAGAGTCCTAGCCAAACAGTGTAGAAGAATTTGTCTCTGGTCTCCCAAGTCCTTTCTGGGGCTCTCCCACAGAGCACGGGAAACGCCCTTTCTCCACCAAGCATGTAGTCCACGTCAAGGCTCCCAGGCCCCACCACTTGTCCTCTGCAAGGTGGCATGTACACAGAATGAAGCCCAGTTCACACTAAATGTGAATGTCCTATAGGCCTGCAGGCTAAGTGCTCCAAGAGGGTGTCTGCACCTTAAAGGGAGGGCTGATCTACCTGAATCCAGTCTCTCAATGGGACGATAACTGCTACATGAAAAAAAGAAGTCTTCATTGAAACATAAACTCACCATGGTGGCTTATTACTTATGTAATTAAAACGTGTTTTTAAAGAACTGCTAGCCTGGCCGGGCGTGGCTCAGCGGTTGAGCGTCGACATAGGATCCAGGCAATCGGGGTTCAATTCCCGGTCAGGGCACATGCCCGGGTTGTGGGCTTGATCAATGACTCTCTCATCATTGATGTTTCTGCCTCTCTTTCTCCCCCTCTCCTTTCCTCTCTCTGAAATCAATAAAGATATATTTTTAAAAAAAACATTAAATAAATAAATAAATAACTGCTAGAAATTTCTGGGCCAGGAGTGAGGTGATTTCTCTGAAGACCTTGTCCACTCAGGACTCTCTAATTCTTACTTTCAACTAGTCCACTAGAAGACAGTCCCTGACTTAATGATGGTTCAACTTACCGTGCAAAGCACTGTGTGTAATAAATTACGTGAGACAGCACTTTATTATAAGACAGGCTTTGTATTAGAGGACTTTGTAGGCTAATGTAAGTGTTCTGAGTACATTCAAGGTAGGCGAGGCTAAGCTAGGATGCCTGGGAAGTGAGGTGTATTAAATGCATTCTGACTTAACGATATTTTTGGCTTACGATGGTCTTATCCGGACATAACCCATCGTAAGTGCAGGAGCATCTGTACCTGTAAAATTTTACCACTTGCTACAATAGTTGTAGCCACTGAAGTTATAGTGTTCACAAAGTATGACAAGCAAAGCCAAGCAGCAAGTATCAGTGCCACTCCTCCCCAGCTCAAGGAAGCTTTCATGGACCTTCATAATCCAAATTCAAAGCTCTTAGGAGACTGGCAGTGGGGCAGAGGGAGCTTTTTACAGAAGGCTGGAGCTCTGAACTTTATGGAAAGAACTTTAGCTTCCTCCAAACAGTGCCGGGGTAAATTCAGTGTTATTTTCTAAAGGCATTCTAAGGTAAATCAGGGTGTACACATTTAAAATGAAGACCAGATTATTCCTGTAGTTATTGGAGGCTCGCCGTGTCAGGGTGTGTCCCATTTTCCATCCTCAAAGAGAACAAATGAACAGAGACATGTCTGTACATGCCCTCTAACGCCTCAGTTTCACTTCAGCTTCAAAAACACATGGAAACCCTGATAAGGGTTTTTGGTGAGGAAAAGGACAGACCCTCAGAAATATTTTTAATTCTTTTTATGCTTTAAGAAGAGTATAGCTACTAAGACATAAGCACAGCCTATTAAAAATTTAAAAGGGAAAGGATTAATTCTTAGAAGGCCCACATACAAGAGAAGCAACTGTTCGAGCTGAATTCTTTCAAAATAAGCAGGACTATACCATGTGGAGGGTCTGGTTTCCAGATTTGTGTTCCTAAAGACTAGAGCAAGGAAAGAAACAAAAGGCCCAAACTTACACACACCCCACATGCTCTCAGACTGGCAGCTCTAATTCCCCGGAGCACTGACTCACCAGGGTTTGCTGCTCAGCTCCTGCTGCTGAGGGAGACCCAGGTACCAAGCAGGCTGAGAGGATTTCCTGGCCTCCATCTGACCTGCCTACTCCAGGACACTCACCCCACCCCCACCAGACAGATGCAGCATTGTACCAGCTTCCTCCAGACCCTGGCGCCAGGCCTTTAGGTAGGGAGGGGTAAAACAGGTGGGCCTCCTAAGGAGGCCTCAAACCCACTTACCCACCCAGCCCTCCACGTTAAGAGCATCTTTGATAATCTGACACAGCAGAACCAGCTGAAACCTGAAGGCTTTTAACCTGCTGAACAGATGAGGGAAAGGAGGGGAAAATCAATTTAGCCAGATGATCAATCAGCAACTGCCAGCATCACATCCCTGTCTTCCATTCTGGTCCCATCTTTGAAACACCCCCACTCTGGCTGAGTGGGGAGGCAAGTGGTAGGCTCAAGCCAGAAGAAAATATTTTCAGAGCTGATGATGAGGGCAACCCCCCCACCCAATTATTCAATGTGTCTACCTTTCTTCAGGAAATAGTTCTGCTCCCAGAGCTTAACCCAGGCTCAATCACGGTGCCCAGCCTTGTGTCCCTGGCTGGCCACACTTCCTTCGAGCGTTTTAAAGTTGAAATTTTCCCTGGACCCACTAGCTGTTGGCTAATAGCTAATAATAGCAGTTATCCATTACTGAACACTGGATATCGTGCCAGGGACTATGCTAAGCAAGCACTTTATGGACATTAAAACTCATATACCCTCACCACAACCACATTTAAAGACAGGAAAACTGAGGCGCAAAGCAAATTACCCAAGATCACAAACACAGAACCTGTATGTCTGGCTTGAGAAACCATGACCCTTACCACCAGGCTATACTGCAGAGCCCACCTGTATCAGTTGCACCTAGGGAAAGCCCACCAACAGATGGGTCCAGAGCTCTGGAGTGCTACCAAAGCAATCCCAGAGCACAAGTTTTTCCATCAACCAGCCAGCCACTGCAAACAGAACATGTGGTCTGTGCCGTGCTCAAGAACAGTGTCCTACCCACTGCTCTCTCCCAGGCGAGCCCTGCCAGATGCCCCTGGGCTGACCCTTCCCAGAGGTAGTGACTAGAGTGAGTCCAGAGGCCCCACCCTGTGGTGTTTCAACCCACCAGCACGGCTCAGAGCTCCAGCTCTGAGACCAAAGCCCAGCTCTGCCACCAGTTGCTTGACCCTGATCGAAACCTGAGTTTCCTCAACCTGCAAAACGTTATCTGCCTCACTGTAAGGAAATGCAGACAAAGAGTACCTGTCATACATTGCCTCCTTCCCCCTGCAAACACTTGATATGACAGCTATTAATAGCCAAGGAGTATCTGGTTACCCTAACAGAAGCCCTGGCTTGTCCCACCTGAACAACAGGCTCCATCCAGGCTCCTGCTTCTCCAGGCCCAGCCAGGACACCTACCCCTGCCTTGACTCATACGCCTGGGTCTTGCTCAAAAACAGTCTCTCGAACCACAGCACCGACCCTGCTCAAAGGCACCACTGCTCAGAAATACCTGGGGAATCAGGTTCTCCATAGAGTAAGACAGAGTAGGTATTTGCTATGCCCTGTGAACATTCTGATGGTGGTCACCCCTGGCCAGTGGGGCAAGCTTCCAGCCAGTTCTAGATTCTTTCCCTTTCCACTTAGTCCCAGCTCTGTGGCATTCCTAGCTACTCGTTTATATTCATTTACTGGCACTGCCTCCCTAGTCAGCCTCCTGCTAAGTCTCTGCAGTGGACAGTCTGGGCACCTGCAGCGTCAGGTGCATCAGTAACAGCATCACCATTAATGAAGACCGCTCTGCATGCTAGTACATTATAACAGATCCGCGTAAATGTAGCTCTGGGAAGTCATTAATCCACTTCATAGGAAAAGGAATGGAGGTGCCCGGTTCAAGGAGCTCCCAAGGGAGGACAGGAGAGAATCAGGAGGTGAGCTCTGGGGGCAGAGAGACCTGGGGCTGAGCCATGGGGATGAAACCAGCTGTGTGGCTGTCAGCAGGTAACTTTAAAATTGGACAGCTGAGCCGCAAGGACTGGTGGGTAGAGTAAATGAGATAATCCATGTAAAATGCTCTGCCCAATACCTGGCTCATAGAAAGTACTCAGCAAATGTTAGCCTTTATTACAGTTAACACAGAAAAAGTCAATGACAGGGTCCAGCCTCCTCATAGAACAGCGCCCTTTTCTGTAGCTGTCTGGCCCTGCAGGGCAGGGCAAGTAAGCAGGACTCCTCAGGTGCCTGCGGCAGCTCTCCTGTTCTCACAGTAATGACTGCTCCCTGTTTCCACTAACTGGCAACAATGAGCTGAATGGGACAAGGAAGAGCTGGGAAAAAGGAAAGGCAGAAAGAACTAAAAAACCCACCAGGAAGCCTACTTGCAGACACAGTTGTAGCGTGGGGTTTACCTGAAAGATGGAAGACAGTAACTGCTCAGCCTATGCTGGACCAAGATCAGCCTCCAGGTTTTCTCCTTCAATCTCAGCTCCAGCTGCTCCTCCCTCCCTCCCTGTACAACAGCTTCCAGCCTCCCTCCTCCCCTGGGCCAGCCCTGGCTGCTGTTCCTGGTGATGGGCTTGGCTGCCTGCCTAGCCCCAGGCCTGGAGCTGGCACTGCTGGGCCGAGGGCAGTCCCAGACCGTGGTCCCTGTGGATGCTTTGGCCCAAAGAGGAATTAGGAAGCTG